ATATTCTCGATGAAACGTACACACACACACACACACACACACACACACACATACACACACACAAATTAAAAAACAGCTTCTGAAAGTCTTTCATGCTGATGTTAAGATATGAAGACAAAAATCTGCGAGCAATGACTTTTCTGGCACTGTTTGAACAAGTAGTGAATCTTGATCCCCAGGACACAAAAGGCAGAGGGAGAGAAAGCTGGGCTCTGACTACCACACATGCTTGTGTCATACATTCACCATGTCACACATGAGCCTACTCCCCATAAACATACACTAATAAATCATTTACTTAACATTAAAAATAAGGGCTAAATTGTCTTTACTGTTGTGTTTGTTAGCACAACCAAAATATGCACACACTGATAACAGGTACTCACACAGACACACGTGAATTTCTACTTTTGCATCTGAGTCTCTGATACAACTCATTCAATGAGTATACCTCTCTTACACTTTACTGTTGATTATCTATTTTCCTTTAAATCTGTCCTGGGGGCTCATTTCAGCTTCATTGTATATGTACAAGAGCCTAGAAAGTTCCTCTGAAGATGGTCACATACTACATTTTTATTGATTTCACAAATCATGCTCAAGGGTGTCTTGAGTAGACTTTCTTGTAGGGTACTGATGGTTCATATTTAAATAAAATCTATTCAAGTGTAAACTTTTTCTTCCTATTTCATCATGCACAATTTAATTAATTGCTGATTGAATAGTAAGAGGTACAAATCCAGGATCATACATTTTCAATAGAAGATTCTTTTTCACTTAGAAAATAATTAAAGATAGAAGAAAAAGTATGATTCTATAGTTTTGTTTCAGTGCCAGTAACAATATAAGTTTAATAGAAAATCTATGTTTTGAGGTGTTTGCAGAGTGCATGGACCTCCAAATCCTTCTTTCTCGATTTACTTCAGTAGTCCTCCACGTCGCCAGCACAGATGGCAAGCAGTGCTTTTTCATAGTGCCCTGAAGCAAAATGCTGAAAAGAAAAAAACATTGCACATGAAATCAAATCTCTTTTAAAAATTAATTTATTTATTATTACTAATTTATTTTTAATCTTTTCACTTAGTTTTTGTGTAGCACATATAATAAGTCTTAATCAATTTAAACCTCCTCTGCCATCTGGAGTTCATGAATTCTGTTATATATATTAAGTCCTATTTGGTCAAGCATTTATACCTAGATGTCCCTCAGTGCAAGTTCATCCACTGAAGTCTAGTCAGCCTATCTAGATAATCTTTGTTTTCTTTTTATGTTCTCCCATCGATTCTAAATTTTACAGAACAGGTGGCTGAATGGATACTATTATAGAATTGATCTTTGTAAAACTTATTTCATATTAATGCTCTTTTATATAAAGTTGTGTAATTTAACTCACGCTTAATGCTTTAAATGTGCATAGTAACATTGCATTAGCTTTATGGAAGAACGAGCAGTCTTACAGGTGGCTGTGATTAAATACAAATATATAAGAACTGGTTCATTCATTTAGGAAGTAAGTTATGCTGTGAATTTCTTAATGGTATGTCTTTTTTCACTATTGAAAAGTTTAGGGTTTTCAAGGTAGATTTAATGAATGTTTTATCAAAGATAAAGGAATAAGGTTATTCTTAAGTGCTATCTCAATTTCTCGGAACCATGCTGTTTTCTTGAGAACTTGGAAGATCTAGATTTTGTCAGGGTTTTTTTTTCATCTTGAAGATGTTGAGTCATATCTGAATTATTCAGCCAAGAACTTAAAAGTTGTTTCTTTAAATTAGACATTTATTTTTTAAACAATGTGAACAGCACTTAGCTAGGTAAAAACATACATTAAGATACAATCTCAGGCACTGTGCATGATCTAGTGACCTACTCTTCCCATCTGGAAAACCTTCTGAGGTTTTTTGGACAAGGATTAAGCATTTTAATTTTATACTAGGCCACCAAATTGCATGGATACCCCCATATATTCCAATCATTTCTTCCAGGTTTTATAAATTTCTAATAAAAATTTAGAAAGATCAGAATAAAGAAATTAGCCTGCTTATTTCAGAATCATTATTTCTTTGCTCCCTGAGGGCTAAAGGGGTAGGATATGTAGAGTTTTATTTAATTAGTAATGTTTTTCCAAATTACCAAATTGATGATATTTGACTGGCTGCCCTACGTTCTATGACACTGTGAGCAAAGCTAACTTATGGAAGAATTCTCTCCACAGTCAATGTGGTCCGTCTGTAAAATACATTGTTTCCTGAACCTCATTTTGTGTGTGTGTGTGTGTGTGTGTGTGTGTGTGTGTGTGTGTGCTTGTTTCTGAGACAAGGTCTCATGTACCCAACTGGCCTCGAGTCACTTTGTAGCTGAGGGCAGCCTTGAAGATCTGATCATCCTGCCTCTCAACCTCCCTAGTGCTAGTGTGCACTACCATACCCAGCTGATTCTGTGTTTTGCACATAATTCAGATTTGAACTCTTGAAACAGAATCATAGGGAATGAATATATCCTATGATTATATCAACAATTTTGCTAAAACCAAACAGCGTATGGTTCTGGTTCTGTTTTTGTAGTGAAATTGTTTTTCAGGTTAGCATCAGTTAACACATTGAAGGCTGTCTGAATTCTTAAAGTAGATCATCATCCCTGATAGAATATGTAGTTTTTAGATCTCAATCATGTTATTTAAACTAAAGTTTTACTTAAAGTTCAGAAAGTGAGTTAACGTCAATGATGTAGAGAAGACTTACTTTGATATCATGAAATAAGGATTTTCCGTATCTCTCTTTGTAGCGTTTCCTTATGGTCATCAGATCTATTTCACTTCTGGAGATTAGAATCCTGATCACAGTTTTATTATGGAAGCCAATATCCTAGAATATATAGAAGGGGTATGTATGTAAGAAAACAGTACCTTAGAGATCTGTTTGAAATGGCCAGATCCTTCTGCAGCAAGCTGATGATGTGCCTGCATGTCTCTAACAAGGTGACACTCTCACGGGGTGCCCAACTCAGGTTCTCAGTGTCCCCTGTGTTGCTCCTCTCTTGCTGTGCACACACTGCATCCTTATTTTGTACCTATTTTATTTCTTAAATTCCAGTCATGGCCTTGACTGTGACTTCATCATGCCAGCCTTGTCAATCTTCACTCTGTCTCCTTTACATTGTTTTATGAAGTGCAGATTTGAGCGTGGGTTGTTTAATCATTCTTCCTTGTGGGAAAAGCTCTGAACTCAGACGAATGACACAGTACATTTTCATTATGTATATTGTTCATTATTGAAAAATTATAGAAATAAGAATTCTAAATGCTTGAAATATTTGCTGATTCAAATCCAAATACTGAAAAACCAGTCAGTGATTTGTGTGACTCTAGAAATGCCCAAGAAATACTTCAAATGTCTTTTCAAATGGCATAATGGTGACATCTGGTGGCCAATAAACATAATCTAAATTTCTATGTCTGAATGTTTTTAATGTAGACTTACAAACAGTACTAACAAACTTTATAATTTGGAGTGATTAAAACAAATGATCTGGCCAAGACTTTTATCTTAAAATGTAGATTATTTAGTGTCTTGAAGGGAAATAGAAAGTTTAGGGAGTGATAACTATTACATATTCCAAGTCTTCATATGTAAACATTTTTTTAATTATTTCTATGTAATTCTCCTCTTTACTTCCAAACTTTACGTTGAGTACAAGAACTTTCCTTCCTCTCTATAACATACATAGTTAGGATACAATTTTCTAAATCACTATAGTAAGCAAGCCTGAATTTGGGCACCATGGGATCAGGGGCACCGTGATTATTTGCCCAGGGTAATTCACACCTGAAGCTTTATTCTGCTGTTGCCAAGTATGGCTCATTGGACAGGAATCATTGAAATTATCTTAAAGTATTGCTCATCATGTCCTTTTGATTAAATAGATTTTTATTTGAACTCATCTTTTCTGCTTGGCAGTAGAATACAAGTAAAGCAAAAGACTGTGAAGAGTGATCTTTCATCTGTGTTGTAAATTAAAATTCCTATGCACAGACACATAATAAATTCTCCTTGACTATTATCATGTTTCCCCAGCATGCTGGCAACTTTCAATAAATTGGCTTGTGAAAATGACACTGGGAATACTTTATATACATGTATGAAAATGTGATAGTGGAACCTATTATTTTGTACAAGTCATATAAACTAATGCAAAATAAATATTCTTTGAGAATAAAACACTCTGATTACTAAAATTATGCACTCTGAATACTCAAACTACTACAATACTGTGTTGTTTATATGAATTTTTAAAGATTATGACATAACTAAAATAACATACATGAGACCTTTCATTATTTAACTTTTTAGTTACATCTATCTCTATCTATCTATCTATCTATCTATCTATCATCTATCTATCTATCTATCTATCTATCTATCTATCTAATCTATTATCTATCTATCATCTCTCTATCTATCTATCTATCTATCATCTATCTATCCATCATCTATCTATCATCTATCATTTATCATCTATCTCTTTATGTGTGTACCACAGTTCATATGTGGAGAATATATAAGGGAGCTGTCTCAGTATACTATGTGAGTCCCAGGGATAGAACTCAGGTTGTCAAGCTTGGAAGCAAGTGCCTTAACTTGCTAAGCCATGTTGATGGCTTTTTAAATTTTATAAACGATTTATGAACATGATGAAGAAAGTGTGCAATATCTGATGCACTTATGTATTTTGTCCTTAAAAATGGCTGCTCTAAAGGATGTGGTGTTATTGAATATCAAACTAAAGATGAAACACATTCTTATTTAATTATAAAAACAGCTCTTGATTTTATTGTTGTTTAATGATATCTTTAAGTATTTTTTTGAAAGTAGGGCTTTATGTTTAAATAACTAGTGATATTTTGTATTTTCAAACCTCAAATATACAGCATTTTATTTACCTGAGAGTTCAGAATATTTTGGCATTTTCTGCGCAATGGCATGCACTTTGTGCTTGCATCAATAGTCTTTGAATATGACAAAATGCATTTAGATTGCCAGTTTATGTAAATTTCCAGACTCTAAACGGCTTCAGGGAGAATTCTATCCAAGATCCATAAGTCTTAGGAACCTATGTTTGATGTATACAAAGCAGAAATTAATTTATTTGAGGCCTTTTATTTCTGGTGCCTAATTGATTTTTTTGCTTGAACACATTTTCTTTAAATGCATATGTTTATATTTAAGTTAAAAACAAGAATCAATATTTAAATAATGGAAGTAATATTGATATTCTGAGATAATAGACACCAATTCTGAATAGATTTTTATGTGAGTCAAACTTACATGAATTGCGCTGTATAGTCTATAAGCAAAATAACTTGCTTTGTCCTGGACACAGCGAACTATGAGAGGTCAGAAAGAAAAAAACATACTTAAGTGACAAGATGCAATTTCTTCAAAATTTGAGAAGCAAATAGTAAATCTTCATATTGCATTATAGTTTATACACTTACAATAATGATAACACTATATTGAAAAATGTAAACCACTAATACCATAATGTTTTGTTTGTATTTCTCTAGCTCTTGGAACTCTGTTAGTTTCTTCATATAGTATAACAAAGACAAATTATCTTCTTAGCTGAGTACCTCTCCACTGTTACTGATTTTTATTAGCGTATAACAATATAAAGCAGAACACACGCAATCCATTCGTCTTCCCAAATGTTGCTCATGCACAGGATTCTAAAACTGGTCTAAACCAACGCACTTTAGGAGGCATCAGACCCCTTGAAGATTTGTGAGATCAGGGGTCTTTAAAGAGAAACTGTAATGACCATAAAGAGTCTAGAGAAGTGTTAGAAGTCATTTGATTAAACTTGCCATGGCTTTGAAGAGCTTAGAGCCCAACAGCTGTCCTTGTCAAATCAGTTGAATAGTATAGACAATCAGTTAGTACTTATTTGAACAAGTAAATAGATTAATATATGAATAATGAAGAACTATAACTCCTCTTCAAACTACAATTACATTTGTGTTTTCTCCGTAGTTCAAATAATTATTTTAGATGATGAAACTGTCTCTTCATTTTTATTTTATTTTTAATGCAAAGAGACTTGGGCATAACTAACTAGTCTCCTGGGACGTGAGCTCCCAGAGGGAAGGGATTTCTGTTGCTGTTTTTGGTTTCGTCACTTCACTATTCTACCTGCAGTACTTCATTCAGAACAATAGGTGCTCACTCTGAGCTGGTCGAATGAGTTATTAAATTTACTGGAATTTGATGGAATATCTATCTATTCATCATCTATTTATTCTCTATCTAGCTATCATCTGTCTATATCTATCTATCTATCTATCTATCTATCTATCTATCTATCTATCTATCTATCTCTATCATATCTATCATCTATCTATCTATCTATCTATCTACTATCTATCTATCTATCATCTATCTATCTATCTATCAATCTATCATCTATGTTTGTATCTATCTATCTGTCTATCTATGTATCTATCTATCCAACTATCTATCTATCAATCATCTATCTATCTATCTATCTATCTATCATCTATCTATCATCTACTATCTATCTATCATCTATCTATCTATCTATCTATCTATCTATCTTATCTATCTATCTATCTCTCTATCATATCTATCATCTATCTATCTATCTATATATCATCTATTTATCTATCTATCTATCTATCTATCTATCATCGATCTATGTATCCATCATCTATCTATATCTATCATCTATCATCTATCTTATTCTCAGAAAAATGCATAGACACAAACCATTATATAATTTTATTATCATCTATCATATCTATCATCTATCTATCTATCTATCTATCATCGATCTATGTATCCATCATCTATCTATATCTATCATCTATCATCTATCTTATTCTCAGAAAAATGCATAGACACAAACCATTATATAATTTTATTATTTTTATTATTTTTTATGTGTATGCTTGCATTGCCTGCATGTATGTAAGTGTACCCATGCTGTGCAATACCCATGGAGGACAGAAGATGGCGTTGGATCCCCTGAAACTGGAGTTATGAATGGCTGTTAGTCATCATGTGGATGCTGGGATTCAGATCCAGGTCTTCTGCAAGAACAGCAGGTAGTCTTAACTGCTGAGCCATCTCTCCAGCCCCACAAAATGTTGTATCTTATATAATTTTAGGGGTTTCAAAAAACCCAAGTCACTTTCATTGAATGCTCACTTAAACTCCCCTTACTACATGACTCACAAAAACTCTATGATCTCCTAGGTCATGCTGAGACATGCCCACGTCACTCTAGGAACAGAAAGTAACGACGGTTGTTTATTCAACACATATCTGTTTGTTTGATGACTATTGATTGTGGAGGCATATCACAATGACACTTCATTAACAGTTCCGAAAGCATGACCAGATTGCCAATGATGTACTTCCTAGAGTTTCAAATATTCAAATAATTGCATTTGAGAGCAAATGTCTCTATTAAGGACATACATTTAATTCAGTCAGAGCCAATCAGCATTGATTGTGGAATACAAGGTCTGCTCTTCACCATATAAAATATGACTTACTAATTGCAACCAGCAGCTCCTGAAAGTAACCGTCATAACAGTCGTTGATAGCATCTACCAGGTCTTGCCCAGAAATATTTTGAAATTCCTGGAAAACTTCAATAATGTAATTCAATGAGAGTTTGTAAATATCATAAACTTTAAACACAAATATTGGTTATATTACTATACATAGCAAAGATAAATATTTTCTCTAAAAATTTCCAAGCACTGCTGCCCACTCTGCTGAAACAAACGTGGATACTCTAAGTTGCTAGAGCTGGTGTGAATCCTGGGTTCTGAAGACCTGCTCTTGCTCTGGTGGGGAACAACGGCCACCTCTAGCAGGACACACTAACTCTTTGCTGATTTAAACTGAGGGAAAGCACACAATAAGCTGCTGTTTATAAATCATTTCTACACAACATAAATAATAATCAGTCTGATTCTGTCAACAGCAAACTTTCTAGTAGACCTTAAATATAAAAGTCAAGTGTAGCATCCTTCAAGTGAGGTTTAAAATTAGTGGTTATCATGGTTGAGAGAATGTCCATAATTCCTCTGAATTCCTCACATTCTTGTGGAACACAACCACACAGACATACTCATACAAGATAAACACATAAATTAAAAACTGGTTTTAATAAACATGTTCAAAAAATAAAAATAGTGGTTATACAAAATGAGTTGACATGGCCAAGGTAGACAAAGAGAATGTCATAGGGTCCCCTCAGGATGAAAAGCTACAGGCAATCAATTGATGCTGATGGAGGGAGAATCAGTTTTCTCCAGAGACTAGCTCCCTAGAAGGTTATCTAATCCTAAGTGGTCAGCCCTAAACACAGGTACACATGAGCACCACTAAATGGACTTAGTGCATTTTATATATTCTCTATATATGAATATACATATATATATGTATATGCATATTTATTTTTTAAAATATCTTATTTATTCTTTTTATTTTATGTGTATGAGTGTATTGCCTGCATGTATGTAAGGGCACCCATGTCATACAATGCCGATGAAGGTCAGAAGAGGGTATCGGATCCCCTGGGTGCTGGGATCCAAACCCAGGTCCTCTGTAAGAGCAGTTGGTACTGCTGAGCCATCTCTCCAGTCCTGTATATTTATAAATGTATGTATGTACATGTAACAATAGTAATCAAAGAAGAGGACAAGAAATTGAGAGGGAGTCATCAGGGACATGGGAGGGATTTCAGGGGGATCGATAGGTGTGGAAATAAGGCAAATAAGATGCTCATGTATGAAATCCTCGAAAAAATAAAGTTAAATAATAAATAAAAACAGTAATTATAAAATCTATGAAGAATGCTTTGAGGAACAGGAAATCATCTTGAGGGACACAGTTTACTAATTTAAAATAATGTTCAATGACATACTTCTGTATTCCAAGAACTTAATTAACTGGCTTTACCAGAGACAACTGTTTTCAGCAATTTTGAAAACAAAATAGATACGAGAAGATGTTGTTGTTATTGTCAATGTCTAACTGATGTAAAATAAAAGGGATGAAGTTGAATTACTGTAAGCTGTCTTTTTTAAAAACTGTAGCCTTTGTGTTTCATTTAATCTTCTTTTATTTGTTTTTCTAATAAGGGAAAGGGGAAGGTGCAGAGTTCGGAGAAAGACAAGTGTAAGGCAACAGCAGCTGCCCGTAAGAACAACGGACAGTGTGGGCATCACCAAAATCAGTGTTCAAATTTCAGAAAGTCATGAGAGAAAAGCAAGTTAAGTACAAAGAAAAATCCATCAGAATAGTAGCTTCCTTTTCAATGTAGACTTTAAAAGCTAGAAGCACTTGGGACAATGTATTCCATGTTCTAAATGACCACAGATGCCAACCCAGACTTCTTTATCTAGCAAAACTGTCTATCATAATTGAAGAAGAAAAAAATCCTCCATGATATAAATAGGTTTAAAGAATTCATGTCTACCAAACCAGCCTTACAGAGACTGCTGGAAGTAATAAAAGGGACTGGAGAAAGGAATAATAATATCCAAGAGGCTATGGAAAGAAAACAAATAAGGCGATAATTACAGAAAAAACAAAATAGGACCAAGATTCCAAACAGAAAATAAAATGATTGGAATCAAAACACATCTTTCAATAATAACTTTGAACAACAATGGCCTCAATTCCCAAATCAGAAGACACAGGCTAGTTGAATAGATTAAGAAATAAAATCCATATTTTTGTTGTCTGCAAGAAACTCATCTCACTTTCAAGGATAAGCACTACCTTAGGGTGAAAGGATGGAAAACGCATTCCAAGTAAATGGCACAAAGAAACAAGCAGGTATTACTATCCTAATATCAGAAAAATAGACTTCAAACTAAAATTATTCAGAAGAGATAAAGAGGGTCACTTCATTCTGATCAAGGGAATACTATGCCAAGAAGATATTACAATCATGAACATGTGTGCACCAAACTCTGGTGCATACTATTTTATAGGAAGAGCCCTAATGGGCTTCAAGACACAGACTATCCCAAACTCAGTAATAATAGTTGACTTCACTACTCCACTTTCTACAATAGTCAGGTCATCTGGACAAAGAATAACAGGTAAACATCTGAATTTAATGATATCATATATCAAATGGGCCTAACAGAATATATCTACAGAATGTTCTACTCAAGAAATAAAGAATACCCATTCTACTCAGTAGCCCATATGCTTCTCTGAAATAGACCACACACTGGGGTACAAATAAACCTCAACAAATGCAAAAGAATTTAAATCATTACATGTATTCTATTAGACCACAATGCAATAAAGTTTAAAATCAATAACATAAGCTCTACTAACTACACAAACTCATGGAGTTTAAACAACATACTACTGAATGATGAATGGGTAAAAGCAGAACTCAAGAAAGAAATGAGAATTCTTGGAAGTAAATGAAAATGAAAAAAGAACACAATAAAACCCCTGGGGCACATTAGAAGCAGTCCAAAGATGGAAGTTGATACCTCTATGTGCCTAAATTTAAAAAAAATCAGAAAGAGCACAAGTATAGAAATATAGAAAATGAAAAGAAATAATAAAAACCAGATTAGCAATTGATGAAATATAAACAAAGAAAATGTTACAAAAAATTAATAAATCTAAAACGTGGTTCTTTGGAAAGGTAAGAGAGACAAATCCTTATTCCACTTAACCAAAACAAAAAAAGGGAAAACTCAAATCAACAAAAAGAGTTGAAGAGGGAAACATACAATGGCCACCAAAGTAATCGAAAACATTATAATGTAATACTTTTAAAACCTATACTCTGTTATATTAGAAAATCTAAAAAAATTGATGAATTTCTAGATTCAGTCAAACCACCAAAGTTAAACCAAGAAGAGATCAACAACTCAAACAGACCCATAACAAATAAGGAGGTTGAAACATTTATACAAAACCCAGGTCCAGATGGATACACAGCAGAATTTTATCACACCTTCAAAGAAGAACTATATCCAACACTGCTCAAATTATTAAAAAATACAAAAACCGATGGAAAACTCGCAAACTCCTTCTACAAAGCCAGTGTTGCTCTGCTACCAAAACCAGGTAAAGACACAACAGAAAAGAAAACTATAGGCCAATATCCCCAGTGAACATAGATGCAAAAATTCTCAATAAAATACTTGTAACCTGTATACAGACACATATCAAAAAGACCAATCACCATGATCAATTTGGTTTTATTCCAGAAATGCAAAGATTGTTCAAAATATGCAAGTCAATAAATGTAATAATTCATATGAATAAACTTAAAGACAAAAATCACATGATCATCTCAATAGATACAGAAAAGGTCTTTGACAAAATTCAATATGCCTTCATGATAAAAATACTTCAGGGAATTGTATTGGAAAGACAACATACCTCAACATAATTCAGGATATATACAACAAACCCACAGCCAACAACATTCTAAATGGAGAAAAACTGGAAGCATTCCCAGCGAAATCAGAAACCAGACAAAGCTGTCCACTGTTCCCAATCCTTTTCAATATAGTACTCGACACTTTAGGTAGAGCAATAAAGCAAAAGAAGAAAATTAAAGGGATACTAATTGGAAAAGAAGAGGTCACATTATCCATATTTGTAGATGATATAATAAGCGATCCCCAAAATTCCACCAGAAAAGAATAACACTTTGAGTAAAGTGGCAGGGTACTTAATCAATTTTCAAAAACCAGTAGCTTTTTTATATGCCAATAACAAGAAGTCAGAATCACTTGCATTCAAAATAGCCAAACAAATTCAGGAATAAACCTAAGATTTCTACGGTGAATACTTCAAATCTTTGAAGAATGAGATTGAAGAGGACACTAGAAGATGGAAAAACCTCCTGAGCTTGTGGATTGGTAGAATTAATATCATGAAAATGACCATCCTACCCAAAGCAATTTACAGATTCAGTGAATCCCAATCACAATCCCCATGAGACTTTTAACAAAATAAAAAAGAAAATTTAAATTGTTATGGAACCACAAAAGACCCCGAATAGTCATAATAACCCTGAGCCTGAAGAGCAATGATTGAGAGATTACCATACCAGATTTCAAGGTATGTTATTGAGCTATAGTAATAAAACACCACGGTATTGGCACAAAAAAGACATGTAGATCAATGGATCAAAATAGAATGTAGAGTACCCAAACACAAATACATATAATTGTACATATTTATGTGTGTTTCTGTGTGTATAGATGTATAACTGTAAATGTATCAATGTATATGCAACAATAATAATCAAAGAAGAGGACAAAAATTGAAATGGAATGGGGGAAACATGAGGAGTTGGTGGGGGATTGGGGGGATGGAAATATTGCAAAAACAATATTCATGTACAAAATTCTCAGAAATAAATAAAATTTAAAAAATATGGAGAAATAGCTAATAGCTAATATATCTAATCACAGAGATCAGTTTTAAGGTTCAGTATTCAAAAATATAAACTTTATGGGAAAATTTAAAGTATGGGAAAACTTTATTCTTTAGCAGTGCTTTTAATTGAGGCATATCTCTATAAATATAGTTCAGAGTACTTGTCTTTGGGATAACTGATTGCCTCTATTTTGGGGTAATTTTTCTACTTTTATCCTAGTTAGTAACTTTTCTGTCACTCAGTTAAGGCACTGGCTAACTCGTTTATAGTTACCTAGCCACAGCTGAGAGTAGCTCTTGTTGCACAGGACCATCTGGAGCATGGTTTTGTGTTCCCCAGTCTTCTGCTGACAGGCTTCCCACAGGACCTGGCATATTGCATATCAGGAAAAAACATCAAAAACCAGTCCCTCGTACTTTATCAAAAGCTTTTACAGTGAATTGGAGAGGCAAGTCTACTTACCATGGCATCCTGAGCAGCCATCGCTGGGTCTGCATATCCTTCCTCCCTGGTCCCCTATAAAGTAAGCAGTGATTTCCTTTTAGGTGTTCTGAATTGACAAAACATATAGGATTATAGGCACAAAAACCTATGAACCATCAAACACTCAGGCAATTCCCAAGCACGGTCTGTTATTTGGACTAAGATAAATACTTTAGTATTTTAGGAAATGTTATGTAGTTTCTAGAGCAGTTCCATTCTGATTTTTCTTTTTTTAAAAAATATTTATTATTTTTATTTTGTGTGTATGAGTGTATTGCCTGTGTGTATGTGAGTGCACCTGTATCGTGCAATGCCGTGGCGGTCAGAAGAGGGCTTTGGATCCCTCTGGAACTGGAGTTAAGGACAGTTCATAACCGCCTTGTGGGTGCTGGGAATCGAACCTGGGTCCTCCGCAAGAGCAGACAGTGCTCTCAACCGCTGAGCCATCTCTCCAGCCCCTTGAATTTTCTTTATAATAATGATACTCTTTGAAAGATGCTGATTTTTTTTTTATTTTCTATATCTCTGTGAGCATTTCACTTCTATCATGCTGAGCATCCAATGCCAGGCAGGGACAGTAGCTGCAACATTTATTATGCAACATTACACTAAAGTTATGCCTAAATAAAACATCCTGACTCTTAGCATCTATTTTAAGATGAGTGGACCCCCAACTGCTGAGAACCTATTTCCTTCAGAACTGTGCTCTTGAAAAAAGGACTCATTCTTTCTTTAATTGATACTCTATATCCTGCATGAAATGCAGAAAAGTCAGACCCTTATCTTCTCAGGGAAGAATTTTGACCTTTCTGATCCCCACTGACCTAGACCAGCGCAAACAGATGTTATCAATTTAATCCCATTTATTGTTCGTCACACAAATGGGATGATCTTTATATATCTTCTTGTTTCCAATGGAGAATATCCTTCCCTGTTTGCAGTGCTTTCTTGAATATACAAAACATCCAAACACACACGCATACACACACACACACACACACACACACACACACACATTCATACATTATTTTGGGTGGAGGGCAAGGAAGGGTCATGAGGGATTAAGGTCATTTGCACAGGTCACAAGAGCAGCACACAGCTCTGTGCAATTGTCTACATTATAAACAAGCTAGGATAAAATTAACTTTTTTGTTGCAAGGTCAAATAAAAGTCATCTGTTCAGAGTAAGCCCATCTTGTAAAAGTCATTCCAGCAGTAGTGGTGGAATTTACCACTGTTTGTACAACTAAAATTGGCAGTGTTTGGCTCGCAAAATAGAATTTCTTCATACAGAAAATTGTTAAGCAATCCAAGTTTTGCCAGTGAGAACATTCTTCAAATTTGTCTAACTTCCACTCTTATCACACAAACAACAATCGTCTATTTGATCACTTCAAACAGCGAGGAGGACTAAACAATGGAAGTCACTAGTTCCTGGGGTCAAGCAAGACAGGAGCGAGTTGAAAGAGGTATGTCTAGAATTTATTTAACCTTTGGAATCAAGATATGAGCGAGAAGATTAGTTTATTAATTATGAGAGAACACTGAGGGTAAAGTGCCTTTTGACTTGTCATGAAACAGTCACAGAGCAGTGGATACAGTGAGGCAGGAAGATAGGATAAAAATGAGTGAACTTGAGTTACTAAGCGATTCACTCCAGATCTGATTCCAGCAAAGCACGATTGTTAGACTCCACTGACCTTGCTTGCTCTGGGATCCAACTACTTTACTGGAATCCATTCTTTACAGAAAAAGTATTCTGTCTTCCTCTCAAACTTTCTCTAATGATTTTAATTTACACAAATCAACAAATAAATGTAAACAATTAACAAATTATATTTTCTGTGAATACAAGCTACTTGTTGAATAGCATCATAGTAACTTAGTTTTCAATTCATTTGATCTTTCTGTAGGCTGGTTGGAACTGGCTTTCTCCTTGTTCAGCACTTCCATCACTTGGCTCTGTGCTTTATTTCTTCTTGTGTTTTATTGTGAGTAAATAAATGTAAACAATTAACAAATTATATTTTCTGTGAATATAAGCTACTTGTTGAATAACATCATAGTAACTTAGTTTTCAACTCATTTGATCTTTCTGTAGGCTGGGTTGGAACTGGCTTTCTCCTTATTCAGCACTTCCATCACTTGGCTCTGTGCTTTATTTCTTCTTGTGTTTTATTGTGAACTCTCCAATCTTACTTTTGTCTTAATGTAGCAAATCTCCCACACTGTGCTGTCCATTGTTTTCTTGTCTGTGTTTCCTCCCCCTCACCTGCTCATCTCAAATGTTGATATAGGCTTAGATTCTATTTGTATTATTATAGTACTCATATACTATAGCTGAAACCTATCGTAAGAACCTCATTATGTGTAGATTCCAATTGCCAACTCAGTATCTCCACTTGACCTTTTCTATGTATCAAATTCAACATCTAAATCCTGATCTGCCTCTGTTGGGAAACCCTGCTGTTAGGGTTGTAGTTTCTCCATGTCCAGATAGCCCTGAGGGGCTCGGCGCCAAATGGAAAAACTCCCCTTTTCAGCAGGGGGCCTCCTGCTCTCTTCCTGGTTCACCGTGAAGTGCTGCCAACCACGGATGCCTGACCTTATCTGAAAACATGGCCTTTAGCATAGTTACCTGAAGTAAAAACTACCCACAGGTTTTTTCTATATGATAATCAGGCATTGTCTGATAGTCTGGAAGATAGGAGCCCACTGCCACATGTAAATAAAGCATACTAAAAGCACCTATCAGCTGAGGCTTTTGCTACTGCCTCCACACTATAAATTCTCTAGTTTTCCCACTAATAAATGGAGCTGTATCACTGCCTGGAGCTGAGCTGTTCTTACTGCCTGGAGCTGTGTCATTGCTGTTTCACTGCGCCTGGGACCAGCCTGTGATCAGTTTCCCCAGAAGAGCTGTCTTCCATCAGCGCCCACTGGCCGTTCTGAGCCCGTTCACCACTTCTGCTCTCCCTGCCCTCGTGGACCGGTGGCCACTGACCTGCGAGCAAAGGGAGAGCCTCCCGCAGCTGGCCCGAGCCTCCCGCAGCTGGCCCGCCGAGCCGCCCTGCATGCCTCCACCTCAATGACCTCTTCTAAACTCCCAGTTTTCCGTATGTGAATAAGCTCCATGCTTATTATAAGTTCATAATTCAAAACTGAATCTTTTTATTTTGTTTCATGTGTCACATCAAATTCCTCAACAAGTAGTATAGACAGTGTCACATGACACGTCCAGGATTCAGCACTCTTGGTCACTGGTCTACTCTCACACAGATTGCAATTAACATTATGTCCTAGCTTTTTGCTTTATAGCCTCTGTTCAGGTTTCTGTTTCTACTCATTTCCCTATTGTCTTTTCTTAATATAGTATTAATTGTGAACATCTTAAAGCATAACAACATATCATTTTTCTACTCAAAATGCAGCAAAGGTTTCTCTTCCTCCTGCTGTTCAGAGTAAACACTTGTGTTTCCAGAGGCTTCAAGAGGTAACATTCTCACCACTTGTTTCTTCCTAGACCCAGTCTTCTGTCCTGGCACACTCCCTTTGCTTGCTCAGATAGCACCTGCCAGTCTCTCAGTTATTCTTCAGACCCACTAGCTGTTTTTTGTTTGTTTGTTTGTTTTAGATTTTTTCTCTAGCTCTATACTTTGCCTGAATACCATATCTATTTATGCATTGATTTGCTGTTTCATTCATATCTTTGTTGAAATCTCATCTTCTTAATAAAAGCTACTCTAACCCAGCTATACAATAATGCAATTTACCCACTCTGTCCAGACCTACAATAACTCCCATATCTTGATCTTTCATATTTTCCATCACCTCTAAACATTCTTATAATGTCTGTGGTGGTTTGAATGAGACTGTCCCCCACAGGCTCCAAGCATTTGTACATTTTTCCCCAGTTGGTGGCACTGTTTTGGTAGGTCTTAGAAGGTGTGGCTATGCTGGAGGAAGCACGTCACTGAGGGTGTTCTTAGAGAGTTCTTAAGCCTTGCCTGATCTTGAGTGGCTCTCCTGCTTCCTGTGCCTGCTTGAAGATGTGAGCCTCTGCTTTCTGCTCCTGCACCAGCCACCCCTGCCACCATGCCTCCCCCCATGATGGACCCTTGCCCCATTGGAACCATAAGCTAAATAAGCTCTTCCTTTTCTAAGGTCTCTTGGTCATGGTGTTTCTATCACAGCAACAGAAAAGTAACTGATACAATGCCATTATTTACTAATGTTTAATAGTACATTTGATTTTGCCAGATATGAGTTTCCTAAGACCTGGAATTTTTTTCTCTTTTGTTTACTGAGAATTCCTAATTGTCAAAAACCATGCTTGGTATCATGTAAGTACTGAGGAAATCATTATTGGAAAGATAGAGAATACCTTTTGGATGCAAATTTCAAAGATCAATTGGCAGATGAGGAATATTTTCTGGATCTTTGAGGTATGATTTTTAACTGTTACAGTACTTTCAAAGTTTGTGAACCATATGTAGGAATTTTCTGCAATTCTATTTTTCTGAACTTTTACTTGGGAAGAAAATATTCTTGGATACTTAACTTGCAGTGGTACCCATATATTTATTTTGCTATGCAGCTGACTGCCCAAAGTACATTAATTGAGTTGGTGGATTAAAAAACTTCAGAGAGTTTGTGATTCAACTTTTATTACAAAGGCAAAATCAAGCTTACTTTAACATATAAACAGCCCTAGACAGGAGCATGTCATTGGCAGATGGCATAAGTGAATATATGATTTGAGGAGGGGCAAGATAAAAAAGTGATGGGAAGAAATAAAGGGAAATAGAACTGTTAAAAATATTTGAGTTGACAAACTGACATAGATGATTACAGAGAGTCAATGGCAGTGATGCCCCGGAGGCCTCACTATGCAAATTTCAGTAAGGGTCCTCAGGAGAATGCTGAAACCAAGGTGAGGAATGGGGATTAAGCATTTAATACCTTAGCGTCCCTTCTTTCTCTTTGAGAAAACACTCATCCCCAATGTAATTTGTGCATGTTGACTAATTAAT